AATGCATACATCTTTTGGGGGTTAGAGATTTCCGACTGCAAAGAGAGCCGCGAATAGTATGGTCTGCAGTTCAGCAGGTGGATCCATGCTGCGACGACTGTTAATTAGCAGCGTTGCTAGTTCAAGATTGCCATTTACGAGCCCCTAGTTGCAGCCGGAGCCTAGTTTCGGTGGCCCAGTGTAACGTATTCGGAGTCTCGACAGCACGCAAACTGAAAGCTCGCCCGTAGCGCGCATTCGCTTTATTAAAGACCGGCCCCAAGTTGGAACTTCAGCCACGCTAATGATGCGCAGGCCACCTTTATGCAGCGGCAAAAAGTCCAACTATACGGTTGGAGTTCGGAAGAGGAGTTGCGTCATTTCTCCTGCCTCCTCCACAATATGAGTCCTGATGATTCATGAGAGGTAGCGCAATTCCTTTCCCGAACGCCAACCTTTGTTCTAGCTTTTGCGGCTTGCTCTCGTGTTAACCATTTGGCGGTAAGCATCTTTTGGGGAAATATATTTTTTTTTATTCGGTTTGGCTAGGTGGCGCAAGCCGCCACCCAATTAATAGGGTTCAGCCGCATCCGTCCGTCCATCCATTCATCCAACCGGTTGCCGCCGTATAGACGTACGGCGGCGATTATAGATTGGAAGGTTCCCGCCTAAACGCGAAACTGCTGCGTGCACCCCGGGGTGTGTTGTCTGTTATGTATTTTTGAGAACTATATTTAATTTATTCGCATCGTGTTCCGCTTTGCTGGGCTGTTTATAGTTGAGAAATTTGACAGTAATACGCTGGAGGAGACCGCTTCGAGTGCCGGTTGCTCCTGCGGTAGTGGCAATCGGAGTGCTGGCTCTTCCTATAGAATTTTTAGCTCTTCTCGGAATTGAAATCAGAAAACTGAAACTCATCATCCAACGCATTAGTTCTGTAAAGTACCTCCTGTTTAAACTCTGATACCGCTAGAGTGGTTCATTGGAAGCGGACACGCGAAAATGAAATCGAATAAAAGAAAGGCGAAAACTTTGCGCCTTCAATATTTCCTTGCGACGCTTTCTCAATTTTGACAGGTTGCAAACACTGTACGTGCTCCCGTTATATCATACTATTAATAAAAGAAAGATATGCATTGCCTTATTTTTAAAACTATCCTTTTCGAAAAAAAAGGCTACTGAAATACGTAAAAAGAAGCACAGACAACATAGATGCGAAGGGTTAATGTGAAAAAGCGTCACTCTGCCACACTGATGAAATTGTCCCTCAGTAGTGCTAAGACGTAAAGGGCTGTTTTGAGACAGTCCTGGAGGTGCACCGACCGTTGATGAAAGATATGTACAACCCCTAAGCTAAAGAAAGGAAGAAAAAAAAAAAACTTGCTGTGAAATTTTTTTTTCTAAATAGATGCGACTGGTGCAGGAAGAGAAACGAACATGTTCATTGAGTGTCTTAGCGTGGACTAATTTCTTTATATCCAGTTATGTTCTGGTCCTCGGTTAAACGTCTTCGGTAAATTTCAACGAGTGGTGAACAGATGACTCATGGCAAACTTCTTGGGACATTCCGTGGAATAAAAAAAAGTTTTTAATGAAATATCAAAATTATAATTGAGTTGCGTTGTATGATACCCAGGCAATTACAGTCCTCGGAAACGTTACGATCTTTTATCAAGAAAAACAAAGATTGGTAATTTTGTGAGTGTGTCTCTTAGGATTTAATCCGAAAGAATTTGTAGAGCCGTGGAATGAACACTATACGCGTCCGAAATCTGAATCACTACTTATTGATATTTTATGACTGTCATCTCAAATATTTCCTGGGAACATTACGATGTTTCGTTGTTCAGTTGAAATTCTAATTTTTGTTCATGCGCCGTGACGTTGATATCCAAGAAATTTGGGGATAGATCTTTTTAAGATTTCCTCCACGTTACCTCAAATGTTGTTTTCTTATTTGTTCGCGATGTAGAAAGTATTTTTTGTATTACGTTCATGATGTAGAAAATGAGAATTGAGCTCAACTTCGTTTCGCTCCATGTTTCGTAACTTTACGACAAAACAACAAACAAAAACTCGGGACAACATCAGTTTTGTTTAGAACGATTTGAATATCGCTTGCATGCGTTCCCAACCTTGCGCAACAAGCTTGTAGTGACCCCTATGAACCAACTTTGCGAACAGCAAAAATAAGCTAGCTTCAACTAACGAATGCCTGACGTCGTTTATATGTTTGCGCATCTGCGATATTTGTTTTTCCTCTCAGAATTTATGTAAATTTATGCACGAAAAGGGATCGCGTTCCTGTCGTTATGTTATGCTAAAACGAAATCATGCACAGGCGTATGCGGTCGAAAGATGAGACTCTGGTCTTTAGCAAGCTGCGGTAAAATTTATGCGAAAGACCCTGTAAGTTTTCGCTTCGCAGAATGCTGTCAGACGCTTGACTAACCTACAAACTTTACGCCCAAGTCTTCATAAGAAAAAAAGTTATATATATGGGATCAGTGCAAAATAAACATTTTTTTTTCGAAAACGTTTTTTTCTTAATGCGGTTTTATGAATTATTATTTTTTTTTTTAGGAGAAGCAAACGATAGATGCCTATAAACGTGCTTGGTAAGTAAAAAGTTAATTTTATTAATACGAAATATATTTATACGAGTCATGCTGTCAAGTTTCAGTGTGTTTAATAATATTTTATGTTTCTGTGTACATTAGTTCGTGATGTGCGCCAAAACAACTTCATTGAAGGTTCTTTAGGCTATTTAAAAATTCGCATAGAATAAGCGTAACTGGATATTATTGGTCACAATGTCGTCTCAAATTGACACAAATTTAGAGTACTCATTATTTACATGCGCGAAAAACGTTTTGATTGAAAAGCAAAACGTTTAGAGGCTTCAATTACATTGCTAATTGAGGAACATATTTTTTTGCTTTATCAATTCACTGCTACTTCTTTATCTGTTGTTCACGCCATGAAAAATGTGGCAGTAAAAACACATGAAAGATCCTTATTTTATACACAGGAATATTTTCATAATTGGGACACCTTGAAAAAAAGGGGGGGGGGGGGGGGGGGAGAGTGCACATTACAACGTTGTATGGAATCAAATTTGTTAGTTTGATGCGCTGTCTTCGGTGTTGCCGTTGGTGGCTCCTTTGTGACAAAATGGCTACTTTCAAGCCTGTCTGGCGACAAAAAAATAATTTTGGCTCCCTGGCTACTATTTGGCTACTTTTAAATTTAAATTCTGGCGCATTTGTAGTAAAAAAAAAATTGTTTACAAACAGGCAGGAAGATGACACAGCACTTCTGACATTCCGACGGGTTTCGAAAGAATACTGAAAAGGACCTGGCACTTTCTGGTCATCACAATACCGAACGAGCGGCCAATCACAAAGGTGAGATGAACAAAAGCCTTAGCGTCATGAAAATCAGTCATTCTTAGCCAATGTATTCGTGCGTGTTTAGGAACAGGCAGAGAGACGACAGATAATTTCTCGCCGTTTCTACGGGCTTTAATGAAATGATGAGCAAAAAATACTAAGTACATTCTCGTTATTACGATACTGAATGGTAGCCGATAACGTGGCCACAAACGTAAAACAAACAGAAGCATCAGCTGATGCTTCTCTAAGATAAACAGAAGCTCAGCCCATGCTTTTGCGGAAGGCAATCAGTGCGGCAGGCAATCGGCATGAGACAGGCCAGCGCAAAGAGGAGTTTCCTTGACGACTGCTGGAAAGACAGCACTTACGCTGTATATGGTAGCATTTATTCTCCTTGATTACGGGTACAGAGAGCCGCATTTTTCCTAATCGTTTCCTTTTTTCTATTGTATAAAGTCTTTTTTTTACACTTTATATTACATATTTCTTTCTTATAAATGCGGTGGCGAAATATTTTGCGCGAAAATAAATAAACCGCCTACATTTGGTTACTTTTCACTTGTGTTTTGGATACTTGCTTCGGCAGAACTGTCTGTCTCTCCCCTCTCCTCTGTCCCTTCTAATTTAACTTGAAGTTCCTTCCCAGCCTGAGGTTTTAGCATTATGATTCTTTTTAAGTATTGTGTTGCTGATGTTCAACCTTTGATTTTCAGAAATGACATATTTCTCACACGTCATTCATGTTTCATGCTAGGTTACACGGTTCAGTTAAACACCTGTCTCAGTAGTTAATGTTAGATTAGGTAAAGGATACTATAAATTGTTATAACAGATCATTCTTGCAAGTTGTAAAGCAAATGACAAAACATACGAAAACAACGTTTACACTTGTTAAAACATGTAAATAAGGCGTCAATATTTTTGTGGGTTTTTGTTTTTTGTCCGCTTCAAAATTATTTAGAGATCACATCGTTTATATGGTTATAATATGATTTATTCACCTATGTGACGCGATCATGCTAAGATTGAATGGAACTAACTTATGTTGCTTTTAAAACTTCGGAAGACATGTACACTTTATATGACCCGCAAACAAGAAAACCATTTGTCATAGAACCTGATATCAATATGAATAAAAGAAACATGTTTTGACGGTTCTAAGCGGCAGCGACAAAGTAGGGAATAATTCAGCTAAAGTTTAATATCCAGACCTGAAGAGTAAAGTTCACTCCACACATTTCGTACCAATAAAATCTGAAAACGAAACCCTTACATTTTTTTTGTGTGTTTTCCCGCAGTTTGTGCGTACGAAGTAATTTTGGTACGATAATGTTGAAATCCTACTAACAAAAGCCTGAAATTACTCTCTCAGTAGTAACTTTACATTTGTGAACCAAACTGACGGCAACGTAACGCCTTTAGAGGCGCGTCATCGTTGTCACTAAGAAAATCTGGAACGCCTTTTTGTAACGCCAGCGATTGGTTCTGCCAAGTGCTTTGGTGAAAAATAAACGCACCGGACTTGCTAGAACGTTGGCCAGAAATTTGCTCGGACAAGGCTGAAACTGATATTTTCGCCACAAAACCAACCAAAAAAAAAACAAAAAAAAACTGGTCACTACTCACAAGCGTGTAGATCCCGCAAGCGATGCTTCCTTTTCGCACGGACCTCCAGCAACAGCAAGATCTGAGCAGTGCCATGATCCTTTTGATGCGAGCGCGACGCCCGGTCGCATGGTTCGAACCCGAGCTCTGATTGCGAACGCTGCGAGCAGCCGTCTAAGTCGGCTGCCGAGCGCGTCCTAGCGAGCTCCTAAAGCTTTCCCCACTCCCTCGCAGCAGCTCCATTTCGCCCGCCACTCTCTCCCCAATAGGGAAATTGCGCCACTGGACTTGGTGCGTCTGCAGAAGCGGAGAGCCTTTGCGGCGCCCGAAATGGGGGGTCTCAGTTGCGCCATCTGTCGGGAGCAGCAGAAAGCAGAAATGTGTAGTTCCGGTTCTTCTTTTTATTGAAAGGAGGTATTTCGGCAGTGCGTTTCTGCTGGAGAAATTTTGTGACCCTCGAGCGATTCTCTGACGAGCCGATTGTGATTCCCTAAATGTTTGTTTGTTTGTTTCATTAAAAAGTTAAAACGCCCGCAAGCGTTTTTTTTTTAACTGTTGTATAAAAAATAAGGTCACGCCCGTGAGGTTACAATATCTTTTAGAAGGCATATCGCTTTTTATGTCATCAGGAATTTGAAAAAAAAGAAAGAAAAAACTCAGGAGTGAAGATTTAAAGTTACGAAGCATGTACATTCCTAGTTAAGAAAGGTCTAGCGTTCTATTAGCTAATAACGTATTGGGAGCGTGCAACAAGACAGTGCGCCATGGTGCGGCTCCTAGCAGAAGCATTTCGCATAGCATTGGGTATAGAAGCCGACTGTAGTTTCTGATCAATGTCAACTTACCTCACAGCGCTGTATAAAACGTTAGGGGCCAAAGTCGGCGCAAACATTTCTGTTTTACACGAGACCTAGAAATCGAGAGCATAGATTCCCTCCATTCGCTGGCGAACACATCTGCAATCATCTCATTCCCACTACGTCTGCTTGCTCAGCCTGCAAGCGAAGACCAATCTGATAAAAAAGAGGAGCGAAGAATATTTTGCATGTATGTTTTATCGATCACTGGCACTGGTGAATATCGCCGCGTGGCTACATTCACCAGCATCCTAAGGGCCTATCCAGCACTCGAAATCGAAACATATGGCGGCGTGTTGCCGTCGTGTCCGTTTACAACGGCCGGGATATTATTGAACCCGAGTTTCGAGCACTCGTGCGTCCAATGAACGACTCTAGAACACATACCGAGCAACACCGGACGCGAGTATATTTTCGAACCTGAATGTGCGAAACTTCTATATTTTTGAGCGCGATCGAGGAACACGGTCGCGGGCAGGCTCGGGCGCTGCCAAGACGCCGCGGTCGCACCAGAGGTCGTCGGAGCGGGCAGATCTTCCGAGGCAGACCCCCTGCTCATAAAAGTTTTGGAGGAAAAGGAAGGATGGGGAGCAGGAAGTATACTGAACGCTGAAGAAAGAAGGAGGTTTCCTCCTCTTTTTTCTCCTGCATTCCGTCCGCGTCCTTCTCCCCAACCTTCCTTTCCCTCCTAACCTTTTCTTTACCTGTACTGACACACGTCACTGACACGTCACGCGAACGCCATGGTCACTCCCTTTTTCCCCATCTTTGATCCCAACCGACGCCCGGGACCTAGGCCCGTTTTGTTTGGTTCTCGGTTTTCTCCAACGTATGATTGTTTTAAGTCATCCGCTGGCAGTATATGGGCTGTGTCGTGTTTATTCAGGAGACCAGGAGTCGTATATACCAAATTAGTTCCCGAATACGTTGTCTATCCTCCGCTCCTCGGCGACCGCGTTCATACGCTTTGCGGACGTTCGGTGTGCCGCGCAAATTACGCTCGCGTAAGTTTCAGAATTTTCGGTTATAGTTGACGCCTCTTGTTATCTTAGCGGTGCGCAACGATAACAACTTCTGATTCGCAGCCGAGGGGCTTCCCGTAGAGTGTTCTGATAAGCGAGCGTTGAGAATGTCATCGTTGCCCGTGTTTGCAAAGAAAATTGTTTGTTAGATTGTAAAGTGAGATAAATTACTTCGTCGGAGAGTTTCCCGGAGCTTTGTTTCTTCCTAATTGCGGTTGCTCCCGACCACCCCTCAGCATGTGAAACGAGATGGCTTGATCGAAGCGATCGCTACCCCTGATTAGAGATGGTCACGCCGTGCATGCTTACCGCCTGCCTCCACCGAACTCTCTCAGCAATGAAACAGCGTTCTTGTTCTCCGAACATCTCTGAAGCCGGAAGGTTTCGAAAAGAGAAAGAAAAGCTCGAGGTACACCTAAGCACTTCTTATGAGTTGTGAATGCGAAAGCATGTACATCATACTTCCTCTCCGCGTGTTGGCGCGTTGATGGACACGCAGCGCCATGTAGTGGCGGGTCGTTGAAACTAACGCTGCGCGTCAGTTTTAACGACCGGCCATGGGAATGGCCGGTCGTTAAAACGTCCGGCGAATGGGAGCCCCGTCGACGCGCGCCAACCAATGGGACAGAAGTGTAAAAGGTGTCGTTGGCTATAGCTTTGCGTGTGGTTTCATAGCTGGGAGCTGGTGAGAAGAATTTAAGAGCCGTTTGGCGCGGTTTCAAAGCTGATGACGTCGGCTCGCTCCATGAGACAGTTAATGCTTTAGCATTAAAATAAATAAAGGTTGTGCGAGTTTGATGTTATTAATAACGGCGCCGGCACTAACGTTTATCATAACGTTAAAGCCGTCTATTTCGTAACTGAAGATTAAGAAATAAACATCGAGCGACTCAGTGTCAGGCGGCTCTTCGCGAATGGTAAGCTTGCTCGTTTCAATAGATTTAAACTCAATTGATGGGTCGTTCCTAAAGGCGCTTTTGCCCCAGCATCCAGCGTCATGTTATTATACAAAAAGTAACGATCAGAAGACAAAAACAAAACTAGCTTTTGCATACAAAACAACTTTTACTGAAGGCATCAATTCAATAATAAATTCATTCCCTTCGCGATTTGGACAAGAAGGCAGGGGGAAAAAGATTCACAACCATGGGACCTTCCTGTCTCGTGCTGCAATTATTCGCATTACACATTACATGCGAGCTTCGTGTAGCAACTAGCTCGCTAGTTTTCTTCGCTACTGCGACAAAAACTCCACTTTATCAAAAAAAGTTTCAAGATGAAGCAAATATTTTCACCTCACAAAACGGGAACCTTCCGTGGGCGTCCACAATTGTCGTGCTTGATTTTATTCGACCATATTTTGCGACTTTTTATTTCTTTTGAAATCATAAGAAAACGAACGAAAACCGTGACGGTTGTCATTGGAACACCCAACCGCACAACACCCGACCATATTTTCACCAGAAACCTTAAACCATAAAGGCCCGTTCACACTCTTGCGACCGAGTACGACTGAGAGAGACGAGATCTCTTAAAACTTCTTAAATTTTTTTAGAATGAGGGAACTCACTGGCATTCGTGGCGCCATCTATGCGGTGACATTGGAACTGCATTTCACAAGAGCGAAGGTTTTGCCGGATTTCCGAGGTCAAATGTGCGTAATACCCATAGAAAAGCTCGTTTATAACATTGACAAAAGTTTTTCGAGCCAAGAAAGATAGGATAATGCGCGAGAAATAAGAAAAAATATGCCGAAACGCCGAGTTTACACTGCTTCCCAATAGATGGCGCCAGTGTGTTCTCTGGTTTAAGAAGTTTTAAGGAACCCAGGTTTAAGAGGTCGCAAGAGTGTGAACGGACCTTAAGGGTTTGTACGTAGGATACGATGTGGCCCTGCACACGCGTGCGTTGGCCTGGGATCGGTAATGGTGGACAGGCCCGTGCCGTTCGCCCAACGTCTTCCGTTGCTAGGCGGTTGCTAGGCCTGACGTCAGTTCTATGGGAGGAGTCTGGGAGGACTGAAGCTATGGCGAGAGTTCACCGAGCGCAATAGATGTCCAGACTCTTCCCTCATATCCGACTTTAGCTGTCGCACGCTGTAAATAGTTATTAGCTTCGTTCCAAGTTATACGCCCCATATTATCGTGGTCAAGAGCGAACGCCACCGTACGCTATCGGACCGAATCAAACAATGAGAAGGTTCTGCGACCATTTCATTCCGCACACTGTTACGCCTACTTTCAGGGTCACGTGTCAACTTCGATGGAATATTTTATATACAAAGTGTGGCACTGTAAACACACACAAGAAGTCGCCGGTTCTATTTTTGTTCGTCTATTTGTCTTTTTAAAAGTGAACGGCTCATAAAAAGCAGTGGCAGAAAGTCCTTATTTAGGACAGCATCTTTATAGGTGGTAAAAGTTTGCGCCTGACAATAATTTCCGGGTATAAAATGCAGTAAAGCACCTATGTCGTTTTGAAGCTGGTTGACGGTGTCGTGCATATGTAGGAGTCTTACTTTCAACCTGAAAAAACAAATAAGCTCACCATCTTACGGAAAGCCTCGAACAACTTCTGAAGAACCACGGCAGACATAAACGTAACGCGTTACAATAACGAGTTACTTCTACCTACTTACTATTTTCGGTAACGGGTAACGTATTTAGTTACTTTTTTAGAAAAGGAACGAGTAACGTACTTAGTTACTTTTAAAGCCAAGTAACGAGTAACGGTATCTCGTTACTTTTGAGGAGTAGCGTGTACAACAACGTTTAAACGGCCTTGTTTTTATTCTAACCTGAGTATGCGTCTATTGCGAGAACGGTAGGACGGCAACCCGAAAAACAACTAAACAGTATGACAGTACAGCAACGTATATCGCTGAACACGTCAGTCGAACAGTTCGACTGACTTGTCCAGCGATATACGTTGCTGTGCTCAACTCTACAGCTGGGAATGTCCTTCACCCAGCGAACACAATATGGTTCGTTGGTTGAACCTTCTAGAAGCGAGTACGGACCGAACGTAAACTTGGAGGTTGCCATGCGGGAGGGCACATGATCCATTGTCAACTTCGAACTTCAGAAGTAGAGAGAACACAAGAGGGAGGGGTATTCCAGATCCACCAGCTCTTGCTGAAGCACAACACTGCCGTTCCTTCGAGCGCGTCGGTACAAGGACTCTTCAGCGTAGCCATAGTTGTATTTACAAGGAAGCG